GAGAGAGAGAGAGAGAGAGAGAGAGAGAGAGAGAGAGAGAGAGAGAGAGAGAGAGGTTTACATGCATTCTGATACACAGCGGTTTTGTATACACTCGGATAGACAGAGAGAGGTTTATATATATACAGTCTGAGTACAGAATCAAGAATACTGGCTTACTGGTGATGATTATGTTGGCAGATCAAGCAGTGAATTGGAAGATTTGTCTCCTCGACTCTGTTATTGGCTCTTCTATGCTGAACTGAGAAATATTGTTAATTTTATTTGGGAAAGTATCGTGAAGGTGGCGTTATAGCATTACGCACCGATCCTTTTTTTTTTTTGTGTGTGTGTGTGTGTTGGGGGGGGAGGGTTATGTCCTCTGTAGTATGTACTATGTATGCATGTATGTTGACAAACAATGGAAAGCACGTATCTGTGCGTCTACACGGAACCTGCGTGAAAGCCCTCTACCCTAGCCGTATATTGTGATGTTTACATCTTCCATGTGCCGCTTTCTGTCGACATAGACACAGGTGCGCGAATCGTCTTCAACTGTGAAGAGTTACATGGTTATGCTGTCGTCTGTCGCGTGGCTGAAATTCTGACGTCTGTCGTAGATATATGTCATATTAGCTCAAAGTTTTCACCCAGATGGAAGTTAAGCTTTGTCATGCGTTTGTTTTAGGGCCTCTCGCCCCACTGCACAACACCGTACCTGCATTTGGATGCTTTCTGGAACAGGTGCTTTTGGTCGAGTCCGACATTTTGAATGTATGGGTTCCGCAAAGGGTCCCAATGCATTTATAGTGTTCTGTTGTGGAGCGAGGGCACATGCATGTAGAGTGTTGTGTAGTGGAGCGAGGGCCTTAGTAGCAAGTGATTGATTTTTGGGTTTGTGCCTTTGGAATCGATGTAGGTGCTTCCGTTATTGTATCTTATAATTTCTGATTGGAATTACGGCCAGAGCTACGTGAATATGACCGCAGGCACGTCCAGAGCGTAGTGAGAACAGTCAGAAAGGCGATGAATACCTGAGGATGTGGGCCAATTGTGAAATTAACATCCAGCCATGATTCAGGAGGAAAAAAAAAAAAAAAAAAAAAAAAAAAGGAAAGTAGGTTGGGAGCTTGAAAGGAAAGTTAGGGATCGGTTTCCAGTTCCGTCCTGGACGGAAGATGTCACTGTCATGTGAAATCCTCGTTAACCCGAGCTTCTCTGGCTCATTGCATTTGTGGTTATGGGATGTGATTTTTAAACTTTTTTTTTTTTTTTTTTTTTTTTTGTTGTTTTATTTTCTGTTTTTTTTTTTTTTTGGGATGTGATTTCAAAGGGGACATGGTGGAGTTTTGTTACAGTGGATGGATGAATGTTCTCACCCCATTCTTGCGGCACATCCTGTGCGCAGGGTCGTGGCACATGCGGCGCAGAGCCCACGTGCACGTGATGCGGCACATCACCGAAAGGGGAAAAAAAAAAAAAAACAATTTGAAAGGACAGGGTGGGGTGGCCAAACTTGCCCCTCGCTTCTAAAAATCAAACTTCAAAAGGGTAAAGAGTTAGGGCCACCCCATACCCCAACACTGTGAGCACATGTGTGCGTGTTTGGGTGTGCATGTCCTAGTTGTGTCCAGTCTCATTTCCGAAAGGGTCCCCTAGAAATTAGCAAGGACCCCTCGTGGATTAGAGATAGACATTAGACTTCCAGTTTGTCTCCGTTGGCCGAGAATGTATAGTCTGGATTGGAATTCAGGTCTCTGTGCATCAGCGACTGAGGGCCGATACAGGATGCTACAGCGTTAGTGTGAGAGTACGAGGTACGTAAAGTGATTTCTAATCCCACTAGGCAGACGGTTGGCGGCGGATCGGACTTCTCTTCTTTTCGGGGAGAAGCAAAAAGAAGCGCCTTGGGCGGACCTGCCGCCCGAGAAACGGAAAAGTGATTTCTATTTGAGGCTGATCGGACTTCTCTTCTTTTCGGGGAGAAGCAAAAAGAAGCACCTTGGGCGGACCTGCCGCCCGAGAAACGGAAAAGTGATTTCTGTTGGAGGCTGATCGGACTTCTCTTCTTTTCGGGGAGAAGCAAAAAAGAAGCGCCTTGGGCGGACCTGCCGCCCGAGAAATGGAGAAGTGATTTCTAATCCCACTTGGCAGACAATGGCGGGAGTTTTACGGTTTTGGCGGTGGCCCAAGGGGAAAGGAATGTGTGGTAAAACTTCCCAAGAGGAAAGGACCATGTACCCCACTGGACATTGGAAAAAAAAAAAAGAAGAAAAATGCCGGCCTTCTTTTTAGGAGCGCAGGGACGACCGAGTGCAGGGAAGACCGTCCTCTTCTTTGGTTTTCGGTAGAACTACTGCGGCTTGAGTCGCGGGCGGACAAACTGCCTCATAGACATTTGTTTCCACTCCCCTTCGAGACTGATGGGGACACCTGAGAAAGCGGGAGGAAGTGGGATCCCAGAAAATGCCACTTCTCCCCCAAAATGAAGAGTCGTCGGATCAGCAGCCTGTTATCCCCCAGGCGTGGAATACGCCCTGCGTGGCTGGCACGGCATGACAAGGACATGTAAACAAAGAAAAGAAAAGAAAAAGAACCAACAGTAATCTCATTCCTCAAGTACTGGCCAGATGCATTCCTCAAAGCAGTGGTGTTACATCCACGTCGTGAGGCCCTGCCTTCCTCGATGTTCCTGGATACAAAACTCTGTTTTTTTTTTTTTTTTTTTTTTTTTTTTAAATTCCTTTGCTTGTAAGTTATCCCTTCACGAAATTTCATGGCTTTATGATGATGCTTTGTACTTGGGATGTTGAACCCGGTTTCCAACTGGTGCAGCTCCCAACCAATAGATCCGAGTCATCTTCATCGGGAGTCCTATTCGTAGAGGCTGGTCCTATCACTTCTATGAATAGACCCCTCAAAGATGTTTTGCCAAAAAAAAAAAAAAAAAGTAACTTCAGTAAAGTCAAAAAAGTGAGTTTTATGGGGCAAGATACAGTTTGCAATTGCATTTCGGGCACGCTACCTGGTTAGAAAGTTGAGTTGTATGCATTGCCCGAACTGCAATTTGAAACTATATCTTGACCAATTGTGCAATTATAACTCATTTTGCCCCCCCNAGAGTGGAGAGTGCATACTATTTACTAGTCGCTGGTCTTGTCACATCTTGTGCACGACGTGTCTAAGGAGTCAGGACTACTTTCGCCTCTTGGAACTACTGCCTTCACACGAATAGAACGCCCAGTCACTATAATAGATGTATTTGGCACAACTTTCGGTCCAGATGCAGGCGATAATGACCGGGCGTTCTATTCAGGTGAAGAGGGTAGTTGTAACATTTAGATTCTGTAAGTTTTGCCGCCTCAGTTCGGTCGTCTTTTCTTCAAAGCCAATGCCGAGGCACCTCGCTTTGACTGGATGTATCTCTATCCGACCTCTCTTCCACTCGATCCCCTCTCTTTGACTCCCTCTATCTCTATCCCACCTCACCTGAGGACCATCACTCTCTACTGGAGCAGCCTGACCGGACAGTGCTTGTGGGCTTTTCCCCCATTTTCCTACTCTGAGGTTGGCTGAAAGTCCGCAGGCGATACGGCATCACACATGGAAGATACTAAATTAAACGCTTATTTGGTTCTCGCCAACCAGCCAGGCAATTCAGGCTTTTTTTTTTTTTTTTTAATAAAACGTGCCAGGCGATTTTGGTAACCTTGCCTTATGAATGATTATTTTGGCCTTTCTCCTTGCGCGCAGGCACCCGATGAAAAAAGAAACCAGGACAAACAGAACACAGCACAGGAAGAGGGCCTCGCTGCACTATTCTCCAAATGTGCACATTGAGAATGAATCTTCCCCTATCACACGGAAAGATCCAATGGCGTTTTTTTTCGTTTTTTTTTTCCGCATTTGTGCATGTGGAAAGTATTGCTGCGAGGCCCATAGTGTCCCCAAGTACTGAGGGCGACTGTCATTTTGTCTCATAGCATCCACCCTCCAGTGCAACTCGAACCAGAAGAGGACCAAGATTCGGTATATCTCCACCTCTTTCTCTGGTGTCGATCGAGGCGTGTTAGAATACTTCAAGATATTTTCTGGGGGGAAAAACAAGGGTGGACCAGGAGGAAGGGGCTCTTTGCCAAAGACACTACTTTTGTTTTTGTTTTTGGGAAAAGTAGGGCGCAGCCATGGTTTCCAGTTTTAAATGCGTTTCGGTCATGGTTTTAAAACTCGCGAACCCATGACCGCATTTAAAACTGAAAACCATGACCGAAACGCATTCAAAACTTGAGCGAGCCCATGACCGAAACGCATTTAAAACTGAAAAGTAGGGTTCGCGAGTTTTACTCCAAATCGAGGAAAATCGGGAATGTAGCCAGCCCAACTTTAGGGCTGGGTGGGGATGTGTTGTATTTGAGGGATGCTTGAAGTGAATTTAGAACTGAAAAGGTGACCACGCCGTAGTTAGTATTTAACCCCTTTTTTTTCTGGTTCCTTCCCCCCCCTCCCTCCCCCTTCCCCCCTCTCTTTTTCTAAAGAGGCAAGTCCTTCTGGTTACTTACAGGGCGATCGAGCTGCAATGTCAGCAGCTTTGAGAATATTTTTGAGGACATTGAAAAAAAAAAAAAAAAAGAGAATATTGAAAAATCTCTCAGTATTGTCAATGTCCTCAAGAATATAGAAGCGTACATGATGTATGTGTGTGGGACGCTGGACGCGGTTTCCGGCAAGTGCTGGTCCCCACCACCAAGAGACAGGAGCCATCTGCAGAAGGGAACTACTGGGGGATGATCGTGTCAACCCAAATACTAAACTCTGCGGATGTTTCGCCGATGGACCAGAAGCTGCTGGACCACCTGCCGTGGTCCCGCTACGCT